TTTAATTACATTCTGTGGACTTCCTGAGAGTAATGAATTACAGTAATCCAGTCTTGATGTAATAAATGCATGAACTAGTTTTTCAGCATCACTTCTGGAAAGGATCCTTCTAATCAGCAATATTCTGGAGGTGGAAAAAGCAGGGTGCAGGGTCATGGTTCAACCGAACCACTGACATCTTTCTTCTGCCACTCTGTGTCTCTGTGTCTTGTCTGTCATTCAACATCTCTGATCCAACAGGTTGCAGCAGCTACCTTCCCCCCGCCCTTTCCTCCCAAACTTTTCAGCTCTTCAGAAGGAAAGTAAGTCATTCATCCCCTCTCACACACCTACCTCCTCACAGACAGATACAGATACAAAGATACACTCATTGATTCTCTTTTAGCTGATGATCTCTGCCAACAGCCAAGGATATTATATCACCTCTAGACTTGTTTTTGCTCGACTTGGATGCAACTTTTTCCTGGATTTCTTTGGGGTATCATTCTGTTTCTATTATTCCTGACCCTTGAGAGATACTCTGAATTGGGAAGATAATGTCTTAAGTGGTAAGTGAAAACACATAGCTCATTTTTAGTAGGATATTCAAAACCCATTAGTTTAACTGCACTTTAATGTGGTATTTTACAGAGCAGTTACGAATTCCCAACTGCCCTAATACCCTTGCTCTCTGAGTCTCTGGACTTAGGCCAGCAGCTTTAATACTGAACTATTATCGCTGCTCTTTGCAGTCAAATTTCTCTGTGAGTAGAGTGATCTGTCTAGTTTAGTGCTCAACAGCTTTTTGTTATAAAAGTCAATGATTAAAGCAAATTATCATCTTATTAGTTTAGGAACTCTATCAGAGCTGTGCTGGCATCCAGCTTGTTTTGAGTGTTTGCTGCACATTTATGACAATAGTGAAGCAGGAGATTAAGCTTTGCCATGAATTTTGGATATTTTTTGCATGCATAGACTTGCTAATGTTTTGAAAAGCAACAGCAATTTTAATCCGAGAGAGATCCTGCAACTTCTGAGCTGAAAGTGCTCGCATATGCTACTGTGTTAAACAGCTGTATATCTGATATGCTGCACCAAAGACATCTGCTGTTGCACGTTCTAGATCAAACCCATGTGCATGTGTGTGTGTGTGTGTGTGTGTGTGTGTGTGTGTGTGTGTGTGTGTGTGTGTGTGTGCCATTTCACTGTCACCACTTTCCCACCTACAGGGATAATCCATCTTCTGAAGTGGTGAGGTGGAAAATGCCATTATGTAGAAATAGCTGACGTGCAGCTAGACTTGCAGGCATGACGTGTGTGAGTGTGTGTAAAAATGAAGATATGGAAGAAAGGAGGAAATATAAGGGTGAGGAACTGTAAACTTTAGTTTAGGGAAATATTTAATCCACCTGGAGTACCGATAAACCTTAAGTCTTAGGCACAATGTTTTTTGTTTTTTAGTAAAGACGGGTACACCTTGTGATCCAAGCATTGAAAGAGAAGGATGTCATCTTGAGTGAATGTCTTTGATGTGGGTTTATTGTGGACATGTGTCTGAATGTTTGACTTATGACTTTAGACATTACAGGAATGTCTTGGGGCATCATTGATATGAACAGCAGTGATGTCTGGCATTTATGTAGGTCGTAGTTGGGTCCATTGATCTGGTCCAAAACATATTTTGAACAAATAGACCTCAGCCTAATTACAACAACTCTGATCAGATTTATACTTTGAGTTCTGACCAGTTTGCAAAGTAAAATCCAGATTACGTCAGATTTGTGTTTAGCAGAAGTGCAAGCGTGCTAATGCACTCAGACACTATTAACTTCATATGTACTAAACAGAGTGCCAACTCTAACAGAGCATGCACCTTCTCCTGATTGCATTAGCTCACGTAGAGTTGGCATGACTAAATAAGAGTGTTTTGGTCATTTTATTCTTCAAACCACAGATGAAACAAATTTTTTATGCATTGCTAACTATTAAGAATCCTTGTTGGTTTTGATGACTTCTTTCAGCTGTAAAAATATAAGGATTAAAGGCTCAGCCCTTATCAACCTGCTGACTAGCTTTGAACACCCAAACACAGAAAACTAAGTGTGCAACACACTCGGGTCATTCATCACACCACATATAAGTTTGTTCGCCTTGCTCTCCAGTATTAAGGCGATGCATGCAGAGACAGATCTTAGATCTGCACTGGTATGTTGGGGTTGGGGGAGTGCAACTTTTTTTTGGCTGTAACAGAGTTCAAGCCCTGCCAGTTTTCACTTCCATCTGCAGAGGTTGTGAACTATTCAGCCTTCAGCCATTCTGACTCAGTCAGACCAGATGGTCGAATCACTCTGAGGAATCTTCTGGAAATCATATTGTTTCATAATGATCTCCTTTTATGCTGTTTCCATATACATTTACAGCTGAAATGTGCTCTCCTGAAGCCGACGAATTGATCTGATGGATGTGTTGACTCTTTAGAGCCAAGAGAAATATTTTATACTGTTTTCATGTTGCTGAGTGAAGGCAGATCTTTCTTTGATTATTTGCACATGCCCTTACAATCCTCAAATGCACATGTAGGTATGTGAGGATTAACAACCTAATGTAAAACACAACAGCTGCACCGTACCTGCAGTTCATTGTTGCTCAGAGCATGCTGCTCTTTGATCATTAGCTCATTCGTTTAATTTGAACAACCCATTACTGCTGTGACTCCTTTTGCCAGTGTGCTGTGTTGATTGAGGAGTCAGATTAGATGCTGATTGCATTTGCTTAAGTGAATGTTGCGCATGTGTCTGTTTTTGTTGATACGTTTACAAGACGCATGAGCTGATTTTAGCAAGACATCAAAATAAATCTAACACAGCAGGACAACATCACTCTGTTTTAACGTCATACTTCATTTCTAAGTGGCTCCACTGAAGCTATTCTACACGTACCTGCAGCTTTATTGCTAAAACAAGGAGGATTTTTCATGCTCCAAATTTTCTGCTCTTGTCAACAGCTTCTCTCTCTCTCTCTCTCTCTCTCTCTCTCTCTCTCTCTCTCTCTCTCTCTCTCTCTCTCTCTCTCTCTCTCTCTCTCTCTCTCTCTCTCTCTCTCTCTCTCTCTCTCTCTCTCTCTCTCTCTCTCTCTCGAACACATGCACTTTCACCAGTGAGACTCATTTGGTCAAAAATGTTCCTGTCCATTTCTGAAAGATCACCTGTCTTCCACTCATTCAGAGCTTCACTTTAAAAGCATTTGGTTTTCTGAGCATGCTGCCAGCCTCGCAGCTATATAGCAGTTTTTTTTCTCTTTGCCTCCAAACATTAAAATCGGCTCTCCACCAGTCTGTCATTGGCTGTCAGTCAAGCACAGACAAAGCTTCCAGTCAGTATTTTTTACCCATGGTGTTTTTGTTTCCCTATAATAAAACACATTTTTCAAAATAAAATTGCAGAAACATGAAAAGAGATTATAGTAGTCCGAAACAAAACATGTTTTATAACTTTTGTAGTATAGCATAGTCTACAGTTGACGGCATCAAGCAAGTGCTGCTGGGCGCTAGTGCTAGACAAACTTACTACATTTGCCAATAAAAGAAAACATGGACAGAGTGCTTTGACGCTGATGAAAAAAATCAACCAAAACAAAGTTCCGTTACTCAATACTCAAAGTGCTCAAGCAACATTTTCTCTAACTTATTTTATTTACTCTAAGGTTAGTATTTGTGTCACTACTTTTTACATACCACATATGCCTGGTCAAAAACCTTTTTCATCCATGTTTGGATGCTGTTTAGCCGAGACGTTCAGCTGGACACCTTTGTTTACACAGCTGCTTCCTGGTAACTCCACATCTGACGTTGCTGGTATCAGCTTGTCATTCTTGGACAAAGGACCTATTTCACCGGCAAACTGGATGGAACAAACATATGCATGACCCTTGATCTGTCCCACCTTGTGAAAATGTGCTCTTCCACATAAATACTCCCACCGCTTTGCTTTGTCTGTCTTTAGCTTGACCCGTTTCCCTTTCCAGCTGTTTCATGTGGTCATGGACCTTACCCGACTTTGGAAAAAGGATAAAAAATGTCCCCTCTGACACCAGATCTGGGTATCTAGAGTCCGATTAGTGCTTAGTTCCTTGTTGTTTGAACATATTTAGGAGATGAAATTGCAACTTTGAGATGAGCAGAGCAACTCAAACCCATGCAAAATGCATGCTAGTTTGTTCAGGGCCACATCTCACAATGCATTGTGACATTAGATCACTATCTATTTTTAGCTACTGTAGAATATGCTATTGAACCTAAACCAACATGCTTCAACTGAGCCATGAAGGACTTTCTTCTTCTTTAATGTCACTTACAATTAAGGATTTTTATTTGATTAACGCTATTATCTAAAGTAGATTTTTGTAATATAAAAGCTATAGATAACTAATAATGATGTTTGAATGCACTTTTGATAAATGAAGGTACCGGTATGTGATTTGCAAATAGCAAAAATAATTTAATTGATTCTCATTATTCTGAGAATTCTGAGATGTGCATTGTTTTAGTTTGCATGGATAAATACGTCCCACCTGCATAGAACATTGAAGTAATAAGATGCTGTTTGTTTAGAATTTCAAAATGTTGCTCTATACCTGCAGATCTTTATTGGAATGGTCAAAAACACTTTTCTGGGGCTTCCAGGGATTTGACACATATAAGTGTGATGCGATCTTCCTAATGTATTTTAAATTTCCCAAATAAAGACCATTAATAGCTTATTTGTTTATCTGCAGAAACGTGTGAAGTTTCCTCAGAAATGTTCAGTTCCAGTTGTTAAATACCACGTAGATGCATGTTCTGCTATCTTGTGCTCAAGAGTTGGTGAAAGTCTCATCAATGGTGTAGAAACAATGTTGAACTGCAAAGTGGGACTTCTGCATGAGGCTTACAAGTTTTTCAGGAATTAAAAATGTCTTGCATGTGTTTTATCTTTGAGAGCCATTAATTACACCCCCTCCCTTCTCATCCTGTATAATTTCAGATAGGAGTGAAGAGGTATTTGTAATTGATGGTCGTGGAGTGGAGTTTGAGAGGATTTGCTGAGAGGAGAACCGGAAAGGAGGAGTGGGTGATTGAAGGAGGAAGAAGAGCAGAGGAAGAGTATGGGCCACTCTTTTGTCTGGATGTTTCTGCTGTGCCTCACACTCTCTCATCGAAACGTTGCAGCACAAGCTGAAGGTAAGTGATGATGTTAATACACCTGGACACGACACTCAAATACAACCCCATGATGTCTATTTCATTTATATGTTTTCTAAATATTAGCAGTTTTGAATGAAAACCAAGTGAGATCGTCATTTTTATTCACTGATCTCTATAACAGACATGTTAGATTCATACAAAAGAAAAGGAAGAGCTGCTGCTGTGTCAGAGAGAGTCTTAGTTAAACCTTCTCACCTGGACGGATACCGGCTGTGGTTTCTCTCCACACTGAGCCTACTCAGAGCATTGAAACCATCGACATAAATATACTGGACAATTCCTTTCCATAGGCTCCAATATCACGTTTTTGAGGCCAAATGGGAGGTGGCCACCGCCGCCATTTTGACGGTGTCACAGGTTCTGTCAAGCCCAGACAATTCCAAAAAAGGGAAGAGAGGTGGAGCTGAGGGTGGGGCTGTAAGGCTGGGATCAACTGGCGACACCCGGTCGAACTAGCTACAAGCTAACTTGAAGCTAACTCTGGCTAACCCAAAGCTAACGTGGAGGTGGGAGCTAAGCTAACGGAGGTAGCAACCTAGCTACAACCAGAGTTAACTGTGCACAACACCAGAGATTCTGAGTCAGAGATACGCCGGGCTGACCGCTGGGTAAATCCGGGTGGAACACAGAGGTCTCCGAGAGCTCCACAAGCCGACAGCAGCTCAACAGCACAGCAGACAAGTGCCGCTGCAATCAGAGATGCGCAGAGCTGCCGCTGGGGAGAACCGGGTGGAAAGGTTTCCATCCCAGAGCTCCACAAGCCAGCAACCCGCGTATCAAACAGAAGCCGCGATCAGACAGAGATGCGCCGAGCTGCGGGGAGACCCAGCCGGCAGCCCGCGCATCAAACAGAAGCCGCGATCAGACAGAGATGTGCCGAGCTGCGGGGAGGGGAGAAACGGGTGGAAAACATTGGTCTCCCAAGAGCTCCACAAGCCGATAGTCGGAACCCAGCTCCACCAACATGTTATATTTCAACCCATTTTCTAAAGTGCAGCATTATGTTAAATGCACTGGGTTTTACCCTATTACATTTAAATTTCATGGTTAAACAGTACGTGTTAAAATCTAAGCTCAGCTCGGCAGTGACCTAAAATACATAAATATAATTTTACTTACCGAAAAAAATGAAGTGGAGACTTCTTGGACGCTCTATTAGTGCAATTAATGCCACAGCAAGTCATTTTGTCCAACAATTGCACAAATAATATCCAAAACAGAATACACACACATAGAGACTCAAAATCCCGGAGCAGTTTCCAAGCCAGACCGAGGCTCTACTGAGGCCTTTCCACGGAGCTAGCTCTGCGGTCATGTGGGTCTGAGGCGGCGGTCACGTGGGTCGGATGCTCATTAATTATACAGAAATTTTAGGCTTTTAATACACTTGAACAGAAGAGTGAGAAAAATATCCACCCCCCTCAGAGTTGTCATGAGTGTAAACTAGATAATTTAAACCAAAAACATGTTTTGGTACCAGGCTGTAAACATGCTTATTTCTGCTGTGAAATTGGTATTTTTAACATGGGAGTCAATGAGGATTTGCTCGCTTCTGACACCAGCCTCCCAGCGGATGAGGGTGGAACTGCAATTTATTTCATTTCCGGGTTTGCCTCAATTTCAGAGCCGCATTGTGGGGGCTTGATTGAAACATCAGCACGGCTGCGCTCTGTGTCCAAACTTGCCAAATCATATCCCAGGTACAGAAACTTCCCCTCAGGGGCTATTGGATGCCACCAAAAGGTCAATTAGCCAATCAAAAGTTACATCTCCACCTGTGATATGATTGGAGGAAAGTTGTTGGGCTGAAGTAAACAGTGATGTGAATAAGCCACTAATTTCAATGAAGTTGTTTCCTCTTTGCTCCTGTAAATATTTTTATTGACAACAATAACATAAATGCCATCTCTCCACAGATGCTGTCAACAGTAACCTTTAGTGATTACTTTGCTTAATTACAAACAATAAAGGTGTGTGTGCTTACTTTGAGGATCAATACAGATGACAGCTCAGAGCTTCTTTAATAAATGATTTTAAATTATTCAAGACCAAAGGACTGCAGTTGCGCTTTCTTACAATAAAACAATAGTATTAATTTCTATTTGAATATTTCCATAAATATTTTTTTTCTTCCTTTGAAGTAGCTCCTTAACCTTCTCAGTGGCCTGGTGGAAGAGGGTCTGCTCTGGGACTGGGAGATCGGGGTTCCAATCCCCTTCGAGTCATACCAAAGACTTTAAAAAAATGACACCCAATGCATCCCTGCTTGACACTCAGCTTTAAGGGGTTCCCGAGCGTAGCTACAGCTGCAGCTGCAGCCAACCGCTCCCCGCGGGGATGGGTCAAATGCGGAGATGTAATTTCACCAGTGTGTAATGATGACTATGTAACTGTCACTCTAGCCGCCTGCCCAGGTGTCCATGTGATGGCCCCTGTGTTTGTTGTCATGTTTTAAGCCGGTGAAGCAGTTTGGATCATTTAGAAGGCCATTGTCCCTCCTTGGTTATCCTTATGGTCACCACTAATTCAGCCCAACAGTCAATCTTCTCCAGGTTTTTTTATGCGCTTCACAGGATATTTCATAATGTTTTTTTAGGAAACAAAAAATATGTCATAGCAAAATAGTCACAGGCTAGAAAAAGTTGAATAGTTGCATTGAATAAAACATGATGGGTCTTAAACTCTTATTACTTCAGCTGGTTGTATGGATGTGCATTTGCTCTGCAAAAATGGCTGATGGTCACAGGAAACAGGCCCTTAGTCAGTGCATTCCTACAGAAATGTTTTCCTGAGTCCAGTAACTTCTTCAATCAGCAGTGTTGAGAGTCAATACTCTGCATGCTTTAGATGTTTCTCTGGTGGTCCTGTGGAGCTAATTCAGCCTTTGAATCAGGCATGAGGACATGGACTGGACACCACCAGTTAGTTATTTCTCTCAGCAAGTGCTCGCTTTATTATATTGTATCAGTACCAAGAACAAAAGCTAGCATTACCTGAAACTGATGCTTGTCATGCTAACCCATATAAACTAGAAGCACTGTAACCACAGATTGAACATCACAACATTTTAATTTGACATAATATATTTTATGGCTACACACATCTTTTTATCGATTGAAATGCAGCATGATCCCTTATACTTTAGGTTATTTTTATGTGACAAACAAAATCATTACGCATTTGATAATGTCACAGTATGTCTGAACTTGTTGTCAGATCATTGTACTGACACATACAGGTGCTGGCCAGTAAATTAGAATATCATCAAAAGGTTGAAAATATTTCAGTAATTCCATTCAAAACGTGAAACATGTACATTATATTCATGCAATGCACACAGTCCAATGTATTTCCAATGTTCATTACATTTAAATTTGATATTCATAAGTGACAACTAATGAAAACTCCAAATTTGGTATCTCAAAAAATTAGAATATTCTGAAAAGGCTGAATATAGAAGACTCCTGCTGCCACTCTAATCAGCTGATTTACTCAAAACACCTGCAAAGGCCTTTAAAAGGTCCCTCAGTCTTGTTTTGAAGGCACCACAATCATGGGGAAGACTTCTGACTTAACAGCTGTCCAAAAGACAATCATTGACACCTTGCACAAGGAGGGCAAGACACAAAAGGTGATTGCTAAAGAAGCTGGCTGTTCGCAGAGCTCTGTGTCCAAGCACATTAACAGACAGGCGAAGGGACGGAAAAAATGTGGTAGAAAAAAGTGTACAAGCTCTAGGGATAACCGCACCCTGCAGAGAATTGTGACGACAAACCCATTCAAAAATGTGGGGGAGATCCACAAAGAGTGGACTGCAGCTGGAGTCAGCGCTTCAAGAACCACCACGAGGAGACTCATGAAAGACATGGGATTCAGGTGTCGCATTCCGTGTGTCAAGCCACTCTTGAACAAGAAACAGCGCAAGAAGCGTCTCGCCTGGGCCAAGGACAAAAAGGACTGGACTGATGCTGAGTGGTCCAAAGTTATGTTTTCTGATGAAAGCAAGTTCTGCATTTCCTTTGGAAATCAAGGACCCAGAGTCTGGAGGAAGAGCGGAGAAGCACAGAATCCACGTTGCATGAGGTCCAGTGTAAAGTTTCCACCGTCAGTGATGGTGTGGGGTGCCATGTCATCTGCCGGTGTTGGCCCACTCTGTTTCCTGAGGTCCAGGGTCAATGCAGCCGTCTACCAGGAAGTTTTAGAGCACTTCATGCTTCCTGCTGCTGACCAACTTTATGGGGATGCAGACTTCACCTTTCAACAGGACTTGGCACCTGCACACAGTGCCAAAACCACCAGCACCTGGTTCAAGGACCATGGTATCCCTGTCCTTGATTGGCCAGCAAACTCGCCTGACCTTAACCCCATAGAAAATCTATGGGGTATTGTGAAGCGGAGGATGCAATACGCTAGACCCAACAATGCAGAGGAGCTGAAGACGACTATCAGAGCAGCCTGGGCTCTCATAACACCTGAGCAGTGCCACAGACTGATCGAGTCCATGCCACGCCACATTACTGCAGTTATTGAGGCAAAAGGAGCCCCGACTAAGTATTGAGTGCTATACATGCACATTCTTTTCATGTTCATTCTTTTCAGTTGGCCAACATTAGAGAAACAAACATTTTTTCATTGGCCTTTAGAATATTCTAATTTTCTGAGATACCAGATTTGATGTTTTCATTGGTTGTCACCTATAAATATCAAATTTAAATGTAATGAACATTGGAAATACATTGGTCTGTGTGCATTGCATGAATATAATGTACAAGTTTCACGTTTTGAATGGAATTACTGAAATATTTTCAACCTTTTGATGATATTCTAATTTACTGGCCAGCACCTGTATTTGCTGTTCTGCTTTGTGCTGCTCGCGTGGATTTTAGCAGAATATTAGTGGAATTTTAATGAGTGTGTTGACCCTACTGGCTTTATGAGTTCCTCGGATGTACTCTGAGTATTTAAATGTGTTTTCTGCTTCTTGTTGGTGCTGATTGCAGTTGGGCATCGTTAAAGTTTTTTTTCTTGGCAGTTTTCTGCTGTATACGCTGAAGCCACTGAGCTACATCTAATGCGTAAATCAATGGTGGTCCAGCACAATGGTGTTACAACCTTTGAAATATCAGCACAGATAACCTTCAAGAAAACCAATCCTAATCTCTCAGCATGTGTTGTGTCCTTATGCTTGGCACGTCGATCTTGCCTGCCAGCCCAGACAGACAAACTTCTGGATAATTGATCTTGTTTCCACCTCTCTGGCTTTTGTTCGACAGACATGCTTCCAGCGGCTTTCTCTCTCAGGGCATTCACCATGTTTTTAAGAATTGGGATGGTCGTATCTTTTGATATTAAATCTATGTTTTTACTTCTTCGATGATAAATGCTGTTTTGAAGATGATAGCTCAGCACGGGGGAAAGGCTTACAAACTGAGTTTCTAGGCATGTTTTAGCCGCTTTGGTGAGATGTATAGGGGTGTAAAGAAGAACATAATGTTGGGTCGGCATGAGCTGGAGACATATGTTAGCCTTGGCGAATCTTGGGATTGCAGCCAAAGCAAAGAGGCAAGATAATAGAGGGGAGCGAGCTTGGTAATCAAATAGAGGACAGGAGAGAATCGCTTATCACTTACAGAACAATCAGCAGAGCCTATCTTTTATTCACTAGCCTAATCAATGCTGTCGTCACTTTGCTTTATTGCATTTGTAATGCCAGAATATTGACTTGAGGTGTCTGCAGACGCAGCAGATTGCGAGCGCGTGTGTAAATGTGTGTGCATGCCTGTATCCCGTAGTGGTTTGCTGTTTCCCTTTTGTATTCAAGGCATCTAAATATCTCCAAACTCAGCATGTTAAATGTGATTGTTGAGCAAGGCAATTGACCCTGATTTTAGGTGTGTTTACCTTATTATTCTAAGCGTTCCTCATTGCTGCACTAAAGTTTTATTGCTCAGAATATTGATAGTTTCTTTGGCTCACTTGTGTCTCATTAAAAATTCATGGGGATTTGTGTGGCGATTTGGCTACATGACAAAAGCAAGTGAAAGGGAAATGTGGTGGAACAAGGCTGCTATCTGGTGGTCGGGGTGGGAATAGAGCATGTCTGATGTGTCAGTACAAGATAAATCCTATAGATACGAAAGCTTTTTTTTTTTTAGATATTTTAAAGATTATTCATAGATGCATTTTTCTCCTCGTGCTGCTTTATCCGCATCAATTCACTGTTTTTATCTCTCAGCTTGCAGGACGGTGGTGCAGGCAGACATAGTGTTTCTGGTGGATGAGTCATGGAGCATGGGTCATACCAGCTTCTCCAGAGTCAAAGGCTTCCTCTCAGCCATCATCTCCTCCTTTCAGGACAGTGTGCTCGGACCTGAGGGGGTTCGCTTCGGAGTCACCGTCTTCGGGGATGTTCCTAGGTAGTCGAGCGTGAGCCGATGACAACTTGTCAAAGTCTTTTTATTTTTTCTCAGCAAGTTCAACACGCAAAATCTGTGTTTCCTGTTTCATCTATTTCAACATGACCCAGTTTTGCTTTATCCTTGATGCACAGGATGCGAGTTGCTTTGACAGATTACAGTTCACTGGAGGAGGTGCTCAGAGCTGTCAGAGACCTCCCGTACGAAGGTGGATCCAGGAGGACAGGCAGCGCCCTCCAGTTCCTTGTTGATTCTGTCTTCAGCCCTGCCATCAGCCGAGATTTCACCCCAAAGGTACAGCACTTTAAACACTGAAACTGGTCACGGGTAACTGCTTGTTTGTGACACATGCAGCATGATCATTGTAAACCGAACAGTTTAAAACCAGGTGAATATTTTACAAACATGGATGATTTTTGACAGAAACATAAGCTTCAAAATCGTTTACTTATAGTGTTTTCTGGTGTGGAGGGTCTGTTTTTGTGCTCCACAGGACATCTTAGAGCAAACAAACAAAAAAGTGGTCCACCACTTAGGCTTAAAAAAATTATCAGGTGTCTGCCGATGACAGCAGCCTTTTCGCTTTCTTTACGTGAATGGGTGTCAATAAGGGATAACTTGCTATAAAGTGTAGACAATGTTAAAGAAACTGTAAAAGGTTGGATCTGATTGATTTGATTCCACTTGTTTATTCAGTGCTGGGTTTCTGTCTTTATTGTGCTGGATCACATTTTTCAGTTTTGAAAAATGTGATCCAGATTTTCTGTTGACAACATGAAGTCAGATTTGTTTTGCACTTGTGCCATTTTCATCTCCAAAATATTGTTGCATTATCTTGTTTAAAAATTCAACAACTTCCCTGGAAAATAGTTGTCTTTGTTGGAATCTCTGAGTGCGTTTCTGCATTAATGCTGCCATAAGCAAATATAGATACTGCAGTGTTTTCCCCTTGTTGCTAGCCCGAAACGTTGTTGCTCTGAAAGTGCAGGAATTGATTTTAATAATAGAAGGAAATTGTCAAGATAAAATATTGAGTTTAATGTCTTTGTAATGAAAGAATAAAACACAAACAGCATTCCTTTTATGTTAGCATTCTTGTCCAACCTTTATGACTTTGGCTGTTTACCTCGTCTCAGAGGTGCACGACAGAAACGCACTTTAATTCTAACAGCTCCACTTTTATCAGCACTCTTTCTCCAATAAGCCTAAAATGTTCATGCTATCTCAGTAACAGATTAGCATTCAGATTGCCTTCCTGTGTGTGTGTGTGTGTGCGTGCGTGTGCGTGTGCGTGTGTGTGTGTGTGTGTGTGTGTGTGTGTGTGTGTGTGTGTGTGTGCGTGCGTGCGTGTGCATGTGCGTGTGCGTGTGTGTGTGTGTGTGTGTGTGTGTGTGTGTGTGTGTGTGTGTGTGTGAGTCATCTTTTAGCAGCATACTTGATGTCTGGTGTGAGAGAACAGGAGATGAGACTGACATTTTGAGCTGTGCAGCCTGAGCAAATGAAAAAGAGCAGCCACATTTGCATTCTCTCACTTGAACCTTGCTCACTGACAGAGAGATGAACTTTGAATGAACTAAGTGCATTCTTAATAAGGATAAATTATGATTCAGTTACAAGCCAGCATCCTTCTTGTTCATCTTTTGCTTTGATTCGTGTAATCGTGTCTTTAATTGAGAAGTCTGGAGGATTTTTGCACGAAAGCTTTTCATGACAAAAGAAAATGCTGTTTAGAGGGTAGATTTAAGCAGTTAGTCACACCAGCAGAAGACAATAAAACAAATGCATTACACGTACAAGACTGTGGTAGGAATACATCTAATGAATCTGGATCACATGCATTAATAATGATGTACAACATTGTATTTCTTTTAGCCTCAAAATGCATCTAAATTGTGCCACAAAATGCTACTTTTGATGTACTAATGAATATAAACATAACTTATCCATGAATTACCATCATTAACAGTGACTTATCCTGCTTTTGCATTTAATTTTCTTCCTCACCGTTATGCAGATTGCAGTTCTGATCACAAATGGCCGATCAGATGACCAGATCGATCCTGCAGCCAGAGCAGTAGCCGACAACGGAATTACACTGTTTGCAGTAGGTGAGTCTGGAAGTTGATATTGTGAATTCCTTCAACATTTCCACTGCAGCAGCTTCTCAGATTTTATCGGAGCTCTGCTGGCTTATCTGCAGTGTTTGCGGTTAGAAACTTGTGTCCCGTACATTGAAATTCATGAATTCATTGTGGGTTTTTGCGTGCCCGTGTTTCCTCGTTCAAGACTAACTGAATGAATTCATGCAAAGTGTGTGTGTTTGCAAAGATGCATGTGAAAAGTGATTAATTCATCTTTTTTTGTTTATGTTTGAAGGAGCACTTTCTAATATTGTTGCGTCAGCTTTTTACCCCCTCCCACTCATTTCTTACACACATTCACCAACACACAAGCTGAGCACTTATGGCTCACAGGCAGCAGCAGTGTAATAATTACTAATTGTTAGGACTTATGCATGTTTAAAGTACATGTTGGAACATTTCTAGTTCTAAAAACTGGGTTTCGCATGGTGCAATACTGTCCCCTGGTGGTCTCAACAAAATCAGATCACAGAAACAGGGATTGTTGGATTAATATAGTCATAATAATGAACTAAAATCTTACAGAAATCCAAATGAACTTTTATATCTAAACCACTAAAGTTAATCATGAGCATTATTGTTGACTTCTGTGTCTCACATATCTTTCCGCTGTCCTCTTGTTCATCCAGGTGTTTGGGGAGCTGATGAGTCAGAACTGAGGAGGATTGTGTCCGAACCCCATGAGGAGTATCTGCTGCCAAGTGTTGACTTCTCTCTCTTGGAGACCATCCTTCCCAAACTGTCCCGCAGATTGTGTTTTAGTGCCTCTGAACCACCGCGGCCTGTTAAAGTCCCCCAGCCTAGTTAGTTCCATTGAGCATGCCTAAAACACAATCTGATTGAAAACAGTGCATGCAATATCCAGTGAAAAGCAGTTACTTGCTTAATTGTAGCTTATTTGATACATCAAGAAACACTTGACACTTATTTACCACTCTGCCAAATTGTAGGTGTGGAGCCAGTGGTGGGTCCTAGAGACCTGCAAGTGAGCGAGCTGGCCCACAGCTCCCTCAGGCTCACATGGAGCCAGGCTACAGGGGACGTTACAGGATATCGCCTCCTGATTACACCCCTCAGCCCCAAAGGATATCTCCTCTCCACGCAGCAGAGACAGGTGAGGGCTGTTAAATGTATTGATCTTAAGATGCAGAACAGTTTATATACACTGTGGATTGAAACTTAGGTACAACTCAAGCAAGAAAAGAAAAGAAATAAAGTGTTTCAGTTGTTTTTCATCAGATGAATCATCATAGACCAAGAATAATCCTTCAACTTGTGCAAAATTGAATCACTCTGCTCGGTTTGAGCACTAAAGAGACCACTGGAACTGCTCTTGTTGGAAGTACCCCTCCTAACATAACTTGTCTGCACATATTGACCCCATAAGTTCCTATTACTGTCCTCTCAGCCTCCAACTCATAACAGCAGGTCAACAGTAATGTGCTGAAGGGTAAAGTAGTGACTCATCCCTGCTGCAGTCTCAGACGACTGTGCAGTTCCAGTCAGCCCTCACAACTCATTACAACACTGCACTAATGAAATCAGCATGAATTGTGGAGGTAAAAACATGTTTTTTTTATACTGTAAGTGATCTCTCCTGCAGGAGGATGCAGCAGTGTGAGGGTATAAAATACACACCAGAAGTAAACTTCCAATCGAATATATCCTCTTTTTAATTCTTACTTCTCCTTCTGCTCTCTTTGTGGCAGCTGGATTTGAAGGCGGATGTCAGCACAGCCATTGTGATGGAGCTGAGTCCTAACACAGACTACTCTCTCACCCTCTACGCCGTCTATCCCAAACTTTTGGGGAGCTCTGCAATGGTCACAGTAAAGACAAGTGAGTTTCACACTAAGTGGATTTTCATAATTCTAATAGAAACAAATTTGAATATTTTTTGTCTTTTAGCTTCTTTGCCCAAAGTGTCAAACTTCCGTGTAATTGAGGAGGGTCTGTTCTCGTTGCGTCTTGGTTGGACGCCTCCTGTAGGGAAGCTGGTTGGATTCAAGATCTTCATCCCCAGATGTAAATTGATCTTTGCTGTTATTTGCCTTATTGCAAATGCTTACTGAAAAATTCTACCAGGTCACGTGAATCATATTGACATATAATCCTTAAATGTTACAGCTTCAGTGAGTCCTTGGTGAAATTGCATCTATTCAATTTGACTCCAGCTTTTATCATTTATGTCCATTTTATGCTTTTGTTTTGATTCTTTGGGTCTCTGATGTGCTCTGCAGCTAACAGACCAGGATTTACTTATGAGCATCTGCTCTCTGGAGACGTGTCTTCTCATGTGATTGACAGCCTGGAAGAGGATAAGAAGTACACCATCAGTATTTATGCCATTTACCCTCAAGGACCAAGTGAACCAATATCATTAGTAGGCAAAACATGTACGTTCACCGCGTCTAAATCTCATTAACAGTACTGTATCATTTGCTGTACGGCATCTGCATGATCATTTTATAACTCATCACAAGCACATGTCAGAATGTAGTACCACCATATTTCCACAGTAGGGGGGTGTTGCTTAAGAAAATACCTGAAAGTACATTTAATCCCTGCCCTGGTACAGCAATGAGGAGCATGCACTAGTTTGACTCAGTCGAATCAGACTGTTTGTATACATGCATGTTTAAAATAAATATAAATTATGCCTTTTTAGCTTAAATATGTTTTATTTGTCTGTATTAGTAAAGTTAGTACCAGTTAAGCAGTTCCTGGTGCAGAATGCAACAACAGACACCGTCCAAGCAAGGTGGGCATCAGTCAAGGGAGCCACAGGATACCGTCTGACATGGGCATCCGCAGGTTAGATACTTTTGCACCTAACCTGCTTTTCCTTTATTTTAAGTTGATGGCTTTTCTTAGGCAGAACGTTGATCTGCATTCAGAAGTTATGTTTTTGTTTTATTTTATGCCGGCAGATGGCCACATTGAGAACGTAAACCTCGACGACTCCTTCAACTTCTACATGATTCAGGGTCTCCATGCTGGCTCCGAGTACACCGTCACTATCAACCCCATCTTTGGAGACATCGAGGGGCCCGTCACCACCACTGACGTGAAGACATGTAAACAATCAAGTTATCAACCTAACTTTTGTTTGTTACCCCTTACACTTTTATTTAAATTGATTTTCATGTTTATTTTTTTATTTTTTTGCTGGAAAGTGGAAAGCAGTGCAGTGCAGACTCTGAAGGTATCTGCTGTAAGCACAAGTACAGCTGTCGTCTCCTGGAACAGTGTCCCAGGGGCCACAGGGTACAGGCTGGCATGGGGCCCCACACCAGGTGATTACACTCTTACTTTCTCTCAAATTGGATGCTCCACCTTTAAATAAAGTCCGTACTCCATGGTGACAAGATCCAAGTCCTCTCTGCTCATTACAGATTCATGACAAATTCATACGTCTTGCAGCTTTCATCATTAGTATACACAGCAAGGCACAAGATTTATTACTTTCTAGCTCATTGTCTCTCAATAAGAAGCATGGACTTTTGAAAAGCTAATACTTATTTCTAAAGCCAAAGAACTTGCCAGCAGCATGTGGTGAAATGCAAATATTAGGGGGAGAAAGTGGGACAACTGTATTTGCTGAGCCTCTGATGTCTTGTGGAATAGTAGAAAATGACTGGGAAACACAAGTATGATAGTGTAGAAGCTACCATGTCACGCTGAAATAATAATTGTTCTATTAAACTTACAATTCTTCTCAAACTGTAAAATGTGTTTTATTTTCAGAGTTTGCAGGTCGAGATCGTCCCAGACAGTTGGCTCTGAACGGCAGCACCACAGAGTACCAGCTGAAGAATGTAGCCCATGATACAGAGTACGTTCTGACGCTCTATGTGCTCTTTGGATCTGTGGTCGGGCCGGGTTTCCCCGCTACCTTTAGAACCTGTAAGTACTCTGCTCTACATTTATTTTGCCACTTTAAAAATTATTGAAACCAAGAGTTTTTCTTTACTTCAGAAGGCACTGGCCCCACTTTGTGTTAATGGCCATAGTGGGAAGCTATGCTTTGTCTTCTTCTACAGATCAGTATCACATGATGATACTTTTACATGATACTCTTATTTTGTGTTAATTAGTTCCTTATTTTGTGTTAATTAGTTCCAACTGACTGGACCTATTGGGAGACCTTTAATAGACAGTAGTTGAAACAGGAAGTTTAACTGGAAATTGAAGAAATCTTATGGAAAATGTGTTTTTAATTTGTTAATTGTTAATTTGTTAATTGTTAATTTATTTTCTCACTCAGCAGTTTCATTCATCATTCATGCAAAATACAATCATCAACAGTCTCCTAAGTGAAAAAAAGGGAGAGGAAGAAGAAGACTTTTATGACCTACCCCTTTCTACTTCATACAATATAATTTACAGAATGGCCTTATACACAAACCAAGCATAGAACTTCCTTATCTTTGTAAACAAAATCACAATAAAACTTATCAATATACTCATTCAATATTTACTTATCAATCATAAGATTCTATTATTTTTTCTTTATATAGTCTCTTAAATTGATCGGTAGTTCAACATTTTTTCAGGTCATGATTCAGATTATTCCATAATTTTACTCCAGATACTGAAATACACATTTGCTTTAATGTTGTTTGTGCAAAAACTCTTTTAAACTCAGGCTTCTTTCTATTTTTTCCATCATTTGAAATCAAAACAAAAAACTTCTGTAACTTCACTGGCTGTAACCTCTTTTTTGCCCTGAACATAATTAGTAAAGTTTTCAAATTAACCAAATCCCTGAATTTCATAATTTTTGATTCAATAAAAAGTCTATTGGTATGTTCTCTAGCATCTACTTTATAATTCTCATAGCTTTCTTCTGTAATAAAAACAAAGGATTAGTGTTTGTTTTATATTTGTTGCCCCAAACCTCTATACAATAAGTCAAGTATGGAACGATAAATTAATAATATAATATATGAAGCGTTGATGACTCCAAAATACTTTTTACTTTATTTAAAAGTCCAATACTTTTACACAGTTTTTGTTTGATATATTATATATATATATAATAGTTATATTATATAATATAACTATAATATATATAATTATATAATAGTTTCCAATTACGTTTATGATCCAAGATGACCTCTAAAAATCTTACTTCATTTACTCTTTCAACTGAAGTACCATCTATGGACAGTGTAACAGAACCATCTGTCTTCCTGTTACCAAAAATCATGAATTTCATTTTATTCCAATTTATAAATAATTTATTGTCCATAAACCACTTCTTAAGTTTATTCATCTCACAATCCATATTTTCCTAAATAATTTGTAAGTTATTCCCAGAACAAAATATGTTTGTATCATCAGCAAACAAAATGAACTGTAATATTTTGGACACATCACAAATATCATTAATATACAAATTAAAGAGCTTAGGTCCCAACACAGAATCCTGTGGGACTCCATATGTAATAATCTGAGAATCTGAAATTTCATCTTCTAACAGTACAAAATGATTTCTTTTAGTCAGATAAGTGAACCAATCATGAGCTATTCTTCTTATACCGTAATTCTTTAAATTAGAAAGTAACAAACTATGGTCTATGGTATCAAATGCTTTTCTTAAATCAATAAACAGACCTGCTGTTTATTGCTTCCTTTCTATTGCTGCTGCAATTTCTTCATTAATTCTAGATATGCCAAGGATGTAGATTTATTTGATCGAAATCCATACTGATTGTCACTCAGCAGTTTATTGTTTTCAATAAAGTTGTCTAGTTTCTGAGTGAACCATTTTTCAAGCACTTTAGAAAACTGGGGAAGCACTGAGACTGGTCTGAAATTATCAAAGCTATGTCTATCACCGTTTTTAAATATTGGAATTACTTTAGCGATTTTCATTTTTTCTGGAAATATACCGTTCTGAACAGACAAATTACAAACATAAGTAAGTGGTTTAACAACATACTCAGTTGTTTTCTTTACTATAGTCATGCCAATCCCATGACAATCAATAGATGTTTTATTTTTACTTTTCTTTACTATTGTCAATGTTTTATTTTCACTTACATCTCCCAAAAATATAGACTGTAGAATTCTACTCCCTCCTGGTATTTTTACATCTTCCTCAATTTTTGTTTCCATAGATTTGGCCCGACTTGGCCCTATGTTTACAAAAAATGAATTAAATTCATTCACCACATCACTTTTATCCCTCAGAACGTTATCTCCTTTAATAAAGTAATCTGGACAATTGGCGTGAAAAGACCTAGGTCTTACAACGCTATTCAAGATTCTCCATGTTCTTTTCATATCACCTTTACATTCCTTCAACCTTAAATTATAATAATCTTTTTTGCTTGCCTTATTATTGTTGTCAATTTATTTTTATAAGTCTTATACTTCATTTCTGTGCTTTTATGTCGAAGTCTGACAAAATCTCTATATAATTTTTTTTTCCTACAGGATTTTAGTAGTCCCTTAGTTAACCAAGGTTTTATATCAACATTTTTCTCTTTTTTACATGTCAGTACTGGGCAATTCTTAACCTAAAGGGTCGTATATGTTTTTAAAAATGTATCATATGCTATGTTCACATCCTTAACATAAACCCCACTCCAGTTTTCCTTTAACAGGTCATTACAACATTTTGTTATTGCTTCCTCTGACCTTATTCTAATATGCTTTATCTGTTCAACTTCTTTGATTATTTCTTTTTATTTGACTATGATGTATTATGAATATTGGTAGGTGATCGCTTATATCACTTATTAAAAGACCACTATTAACTGCCTTATGTATTTCATTTGTATAAATATTGTCAATTAGTGTAGCACAGGTACTGGTAACTCTGGTTGGCTTAGTAATCACAGGATATAAACTCCTACTGGACATTGCATCTACAAAATCTGTAGTGGTTTTGTGGTTTTCTTGGTTAAGTAAATCAATGCTTTCGTTCTTTTTTAAACACAGAAACAGTTTTGTTTACCTGTTTGTAGCTACAGTTTCGCCGACGGCTGCTGGCTTCTTCAGGCTGACGCTGATGGTGGTGCGTCACTTCCTTCTCCGTTTATCTGCGGGCAGCAGAGGACGTTGTCGCCCTCTACTGCCCGCTCTCCCCTCTCCGACGATGCAGTCCCATGCGTGGTCCAGCGTGTAAACTCCGTCGTCCCTGTTCATGGTCCCACATTCACGTCTCCTTATCTCGATTGCTTCCTTGATCCATCTTTTGTATTTTTGTTGTTCGGTGGTTATGATCCGTGTGCTGTCCCAGTCCATTATATGGTTTTCTCTTAAGCAATGTTCTGTTACGGCTGACTTTTTTATTGTACTTTCTGCTTCTTCTTTTGCTGCTCTTGTGTGTTTACGATTTGCCTCTTTCTCGCACTCCTTTCTGTGTTCTATTGTCCGTGTATTGAGTTGACGTCCGGTTTCTCCTATGTATGTTTTATTGCATATTTTGCATGGGATTTCAAACAAATTTCAAACAAAACACCCCACTTAGACCAATAGTTGACAGCATAGGTACACCAACATACAACATGGCAAAAGATATCAGCAGAATCATCAGCCCGTTATTAGGAAATACAGACCAACACTGCAAAAATAGTATAGAATTGGCAAAAGAACTAAAGGAAATTACAATAGAAGACAACGACATACTCATCTCACATGACGTCACATCCCTGTTCACAAAAACACCAACCCAAAAAACCATAGACATAGTAGTTAACAGAATCAGACAAGACAAAACTTTACACAAAAGGACAAACCTCACAGCAGACGACATAGCACAACTGATAGGACTGGTAGCTAACTCCACTTACTTCACATACGACAACACAATATACAAACAACTGGAAGGCTTCGCCATGGGTAACCCGTTATCAGCCACCCTGTGCGAGTTTTTCTTGGAAGACCTGGAACAAAAAGCCATAGCCACCGCCCCCCCAAACTGCAAAATAAAACTATGGAAACGCTACGTGGATGACATACTAGAAATCATACCAAAAGGTCAAACAGAAACACTAACACAACACTTAAACAATATTGACGACACGGGCAACATAAAATTCACTTATGAGTTAGAAACAGAAGGCAGCATAGCATTTATGGATATGAAAATCACCAGACAGACCGACGGGACCCTAAACATAAACACATACAGGAAACCAACACACAGACCAATATTTATTATGGACATCAGAACACCCCACCATACACAAAATGTCAGTAATCAGAACATTATATCACCGAGCAAACATAATAACAGAAGAGAGAGACCGTAAACAAGAGGACAAACACATACAACACGCTTTAAAGACCTGCGCATACCCGACATGGGCAATAAACAAAGGAAAACAACAAACAAAAACAGAAAGCAAAGAACAACCCAAAAAAAGAACCAGAAACCCAGAAAGACAAGAACCAAAACCAGTGATAACCCTACCATACATCAGAGGCATAACGGAAAAAATAAGAGCAACAATGAAAAAACACAACATAAACACACCAACAAAGCCATACACAACAGTTAGAAACAGACTAGTACACCCAAAAGACAAAATATCAGCTGGACAAAAATGTGGAGCCATCTACGAAATCCCATGCAAAATATGCAATAAAACATACATAGGAGAAACCGGACGCCAACTCAATACACGGACAATAGAACACAGAAAGGAGTGCGAGAAAGAGGCAAATCGTAAACACACAAGAGCAGCAAAAGAAGAAGCAGAAAGTACAATAAAAAAGTCAGCCGTAACAGATCATTGCTTAAGAGAAAACCATATAATGGACTGGGACAACACAAGGATCATAACCACCGAACAACAAAAATACAAAAGATGGCTCAAGGAAGCAATCGAGATAAGGAGACGTGGATGTGGGACCATGAACAGGGACGACGGAGTTTACACGCTGGACCA